TCATCTAATGATCACCTTAATTCTTAATTCAAGATTCTAGCCTAGCTAAGGTAGTGTTCGGTTGAATTCTCTCATTATATTCAATTTACCCTTCTCGAGTTCTCATTGAACCTATTTAATTGAATCAATTTAATATTTCTATGCAAATTACCCTTAGTTAAACGAAATATGGTTCTAAAAATTCATATTACGATTGCAATAATTAATATATGTATTTTTACATGTTATATTACTTCACCGAATTTTATCATACGGTATAAGCCTCAAACTCACTTCTCGGTTCGTAAGAAACTAAAAAAATATCAAATTATTGGCCAAATAATTCAAAAAATTAAGATCATAATAAAATCAACATATAAAAGAATAAACCACAGAAATCTTTGAATAAAAGAATCAATGATCACAAAAGACTACATTATTTGCCATAATCTAGAGTTTAATTACGCATACTGTGAAAGGAAAAAAACAAATAAATCTCTTTGAGTACATCACCGGATTAATTGAATAAAGAAATAGAAAATAATCAACTCTTGCACAAATGTCTCTTCTGCTTCCAATCTTTGCTTTAAACTTGAATCTTGTGATGAATTTCTTCTTTAGATTTAGCTCTCCTAGCTCGTTGTATCTCCATTTTTTCAATGTTTGGAACCTTTAAAATTTTCTCATTTCTTCTATTTATACTCCCCTACGCGATTTTTCAAAAATTGAAGCCTTTCTGGCCTTTACGCGGTCCAAAACAACATAACCCTAAAATTTTCGGCATAGCCCCTAGGCTCTGCGATAACCTTTGAAGCAGCGCCTAAGCGTTATGGTTGCAGCGCTTAGGCACTGAATTGCTGAAAATAAGCAGCCCTATGGCCTGGGCGCTAGGATTCCAGTGCCTGGGAGCTGAGTTATTCCAAATTCTAAGTATGTTTTAGTATTTTTGTTGTAACTTTTTCTCTCGATATTCGATTAAATCGATTCAAAAAGTGTTGAAAATGTAATTTAAAGGGATACAACTTTTCTAGAATTAGCTATTTTTCAATTCTAATGTTTATTAGACCAAAATTGGGTCTCAATCTCCAATTGAAAATGTAGAACATCCTAGTGCTGTTGAAAATTGATTTGTGAAAATATTTTAGTCATATTGAACTCCTTTTGACTTCTAATTACCTCCATTTGACCCATAGCATTGTCGAATCTTTATCGTGATTTTCGATACAATTTTTGAGTATTTGCACTTTAGTCCTTAAAATTTGGATCTTGCTATTTTTCGCTATTTTTCACTTATTTTCTCCAATTCTTCATCAAACATAAAATTTTACCTACAAAGATGCAATATAACATAAATTAGATAGAAATTTATGGAAAAAATAATAAAATATCATCATTTAGGGTCTCGAATAAGTGTAGAGACTACACTCATCGTCATCGCCACATCTTCCCTTGATCCATTTAGGCTTTGGCTATACACATTTGAAAGGTTTGTGCTAATGGGTGCAACAAATGAAATGTTAAGAAAAAACCTGCAACGTTTTGAAAGGTTTAGAAGCGTAGCTGCAATTATCCCTTCTTTTTATTAATTTAGGCTAAATGCTTCCATACCTTAATTTTTAGTGATTAGATTACATTTTACTTGTATTGAATGTTCATAATCTTTACACATTGCCACATTTATGTTTCAAAATATTTTTCATCGCATTCTTATTTTCAAATTAACATAAATCGTTCTTGATTATAGTTTATCTTCAAATTTGTCCATTGTATTTTTTAGTAAGCGTAACAAATAATACTACAAAAATGCAATTAAATATTTGACTCATTTTAAAGCATTACAATAATATTTTTGGAGGAAAACCATGATTAAGGACGAGATTTCTTGATTAATGAAATGTTATAAAAAAAATTTAAGAATATAAGAGTGATAATGAATAAATGTTAATGACTTTTAACGTAATAAAATTTTGGTGTGAATATAACCATCAATTAATTTACTATAATAAACCTGAGTTGATTGTGCTTTTTGGTAGGTGTCTTTCTTGACGATATTGCCCTTGAATCTGGTCAATCTTGAGAGTTTTGAAGTCATCATGTTGTGACATCTCGCTCGACTCACTCCACATACAAGCGCGAGTCAATTCGTCGGCTCACGTTGTGGATTGAGCCCAACGGTGGGAAAGTCCAGCGGCTCAACTCGACCCATTTAATAGCCTATTTTATTAGCATTATGATAAAGTTGTATAGGAGAAACGTTTGTTACCATTTCATTAATGTGACTCTAGCATTACAAAGGCATATATACCTATCCAAATAGCTCACTAACACAACTCTTTTTTCTAATTATACGAACATGGTACGATCCACTCGAGACAGTAGTCGTTGTATTGTTGTTAACTAATTCAGGGCTCGACAATAACTTTTCCAGTAGCATGGCCATCTATGCCCTTAGCCCATGCCTCATCAGCTCGGCTCAGAGGATGTTTTGAATCGATCACTGTTTTGAGCTTCCCTTCTTTCACCAATTTAACAACAGCATCCAGTCCCTCCTTTTTGGGAATTAGAAGAAGTGGCACCAGTTGCTTTTTAGAGAAAGTAAGTTTCTTTACAGCAAAGGTCCACATTGCACTGGGGCCAGGAGTGAGATCTATTACCTTCCCTGTTTCAGTCAAGTTAGGCTCGAAAACAGACCATGGAATGCCTGTTGTGCAATGGATCACTACGTCGTATTTCTGTCCTGATGGACTCTTAAGAGCTGCTCCTTCTGGGGTCTTGTAATCGATAACCTCGTCTGCTCCTAAGCTCTTCACAAAATCAACATTACGGGCACCAC